AAAAAAAAAAAAAAAAAGCTATAAAACATTATGAACAATACACCATTTCTGTAAGTTTAATTTTGGAACTCTTTATGCAACAGGGTAGTGTGGAGGAATAATGTCATGATTAAGGCCAAGGCTTTGTGCTCAGACGAGAAGAGTTGAATTGGCTCCACTACTTACCAGCTTGAATACTGTAAGCCTCAGCTTCCCCATCTGTGATATGGGGCTAGGACAGTGACTACGTAACACCTAAGGCATGACACGTATTAAATAGATCTTCCTAACTAGAATGGTGAGCAATGAACAGTGTGTGTGTGTGTGTGCATGTATGCATCTGTGAGCTCACTGTGAGTGTTTTCTTGATACATTCAATTCTTTCTAAATTGGGCAGGTATTGCTATTGTAATAACAAATGAACAAAGTCATTAACATAAAAAATAAAAGGCATAATAGTTTAGAGAGGAACCCCAAGAATATTATTCCACATCAGAAATGTCATCAGGACAGAAGGAAGGTCAACTGCATGCTAATTTGCCATGCAAATTTTGCCCTCAGAGTCGTATTTCAAATCATGTTGTGGCATTTCTGTTGCTCTTTTTCTTAAGGATTTATTCCAAGAATTTTTTTTTTTTAATTTTCCTTAATGAAAGAAAAAAGGAAAACTTCGAAACTTCAAGCATGTGGGTGAGTGCAATTTGCAGAAAATATTTCCAAAACGTTGTAGCCAATATAGGCCATGTTTTAAACCTCAGATATCTAAGCAAATATCTAAGTGTTTCTTGTAAACCATACGAAGTTCCTCTGTTTGGTAACATCTTGCTTGCTGGAAATTATTTAGGGGGAAGGTTTCAGGGACATTCACTGGTTTTGCCTGCCCAGTCTCCAACCCCCCTCACCTCCCACTCCAGTCATCCAGCATCGGAACCTGGATATTTATCTGGGAAACTACCTCCTTCCATCTAGAACCCTGTGATGCATTGGGGCCCACCCATGTCTTGGTTTGACTCAGTTCTGACCAATAAGACTATTATATTGTTCTGGCCACCAGGATTGGCTCAAGGATGGGCATGTGACTCAAGCTAAGCCAATCAGAGTCAAGGAATCTTAGCGCTGGGATTTTTGCTAGAATTATTGACAAGTAGATGCTTTCTTTCCACTGGGGTGCTAGGTGATGCATATGAGGCTGAAACTGCCGGAAACGGTTTTAACACCACTTAGAGAAAGGCTGCTTAAGAATGGAACAAACACAAAGGAAGAAAAGCCCTGAAATGGACACAGTGGGATTCCTGATGATATTCTTTAAGCACAGGAATTCAGCTATGCCTGATGCTCGTGAACACTCCTCTCTGTGTAAGCCAATTTGAATTGGCTTTCTGTTGCTTACAACTGAAAAAGTCCTGACTACTACAGAATATCAGCCTGAAGTGGCAAAAACATTAATTCTATTATATGTTCCAAGAGCCAACAGTGTGCATAGTATTTCAGGTGCTAATGACTCATTCCGTGTCTCTTAAGTGGAGCTCCTCCAGGACTGGCTTCAGAGGACACCTAAGAGCCCTTTGTAATTAGCTCATTAAAGGAACTCTGGCAAAGTGGTTGTCAACTTGCTTGAAAACAGTTGTCTTGGCCAGGCGCGGTGGCTCACGCACATGAGCAAGCACTTTGGGAGGCCGAGGCCAGCAGATCACCTGAGGCCAGGAGTTCAAGACCAGCCTGTCCAACATGGTGAAAATCCATCTCTACAATAAATTATTAAAAAAAAAAAAAATAGCTGGCTTGTCTTCAGTAAGAAAGAAAAAAAAATTAGCTGGGTGATGCATGCCTGTAGTCCCAACTACTCAGGAGGCTGAGGCAGGAGAATTGCTTAAACCCAGGAGGTGGAGGTTGCAGTGAACTGAGATTGCGCCACTGCACTCCAGCCTGGGTGACAGCGCAAGACTCCATCTCAAAAAGAAAAAATAAAAATAAAAAACAGTCCTCTTGTCCTCTGCTACCTCGAATACATGATTGGGCTTTGCTAAGCATTTTTCAGCATTAGGACAAACATAGGCCAGCATTCAACCTCTGGCCCAATTAGTAGAATTCTCACTAAAATGTTTAACCCTTTGTAATCCTTTTACCCGTACATAAACAGTAAAAAACCAAAACATTGCAAAGAGGTTGTATTTTAGAGACGGTGAGAGAGACCAGCTACTATTTTGCTTCATAATGGGTACTATGGATAATGGTGAAGCTATTTATATATCATTTTACTACGCTGTTTCCAGTCCTTTGTCTGTGTTTAAGAAGCTATAGATTGCCTCTAAATGCAGAGTTCCTGTGCAGTTCTTTTTCCTTTGTCAAAATGTTTTAAAGGATAGTCAACAATCGAAGAAGTCAATTCAAGTTGAGACGAGACTTTATTGAATTCCCAGTGATCACAGGACAGGGCCAAACCTGGGGAAGATGAAAAGATGAGGAGCCCTAATTCAAGTTTCCTGGAGATCACAGTCTGGTTGGGGAGACAGGAATGTGGTTTAGTGTGGCGGGCCTCGTCTATCTGCATTCAAATCATGGTTCTGTCACTCTAGCCAGGTCCTTGGGCAAGTTCCTGAATGTCCATGTGGCTCAGTTGCTTCACCTGTGAAATGGGAAGGATAATGATAGCACCTACCTAATAGGCATGTTCTGATGATGAAATGAGCTCATATACATGGCCTTCACGGAACAATGTCTAGCACTCAAAAAAAATGTCAAAGTTGTCTTTCTTTCTTATTTTAATTTGTGTCTGGTTTTGATGTTTCCCCAATACTTCTTGGGATCAAAAATCAGCATGGTGATTTTTGGCGATGGTCACTGTGATGGTTAATGTTAATTGTCAACTTGATTGGATTGAAGGATGCAAAGTATTGTTCCAGGATCTGACTGGGAGAGGCAGACCCATTCTCAAACTGGGTGGGTACCATCTAATCAGCTGCCAGCATGGCTAGGATAAAAGCAGGCAGAAGAACACGGAAAGAGGCTAGGCTGGCTAGGTCTTCCAGCCTCCGTTTCTCCTGTGCTGGATGCTCCTGCCCTTGAACATTGGACTCCAACTTCTTCAGCTTTTGGACCCTTGGACTTATACCAGTGGTTTGCCAGGGGCTCTCGGGCCTTCAACCACAGACTGAAGGCTGCACAGCTGGCTTCCCTGCTTTTGAGGTTTTGGGACTCAGACTGGCTTCTTGGCTCCTCTGCTTGCAGATGACCTATTGTGGGACCTCACCTTGTGATCGTGTGAGTCAATAGTCCTTAATAAACTCCCATTTAGATACACGTCTATCCCGTCTATCCCATTAGTTCTGTCCCTCTAGAGAACCCTGATGAATACAGTCACACATATTCCAAAATTCCCTCACAAATCCCAGCCACACTGGCCATCCACAGATCATCTCTCAGTACAGTAAGTCCTGTCCAGCCAGTTGATCCAGGTTATTATTTGGTTGAGAACCAGATGAAGCAGTTTCCTTGTATTTGGAGGTCAAATTGTGGGAAACATGTTAATCTTTCAGTATTGTAAAAACACTGGACTCCTACTCAGGGCAGCGAAGGGCCACATGGGAAAAGAAGTTGGTGATTCGGAGACTGCAGCTGCCCCCCTAACCTCAGTCTGGACACGCTCCCATTCCACAGCCCTCAGAAGCAAACTGCTAATACTTATTACATTATTCTTGCTTTCTCTTCACAAGCATGCATGACAGAGTTCACATACATTAAAGGCTTATTGGATGCAATTTTCTGTATTTAATTTTTTTTTCTTTGTTTGGAGACAGAGTCTCACTCTGTCCCCCAGGCTGGAGTGCAGTGATGCCATCTCGGCTCACTGCAACCTCCACCTCCCGGGTTCAAGCAATTCTCGTACCTCAGCCTCCCGAGTAGCTGGGATTACAAGCATGTACCACCACACCCAGCTAATTTTTTTGTGTTTTAGTAGAAACGGGGCTCCACGATGTTGCCCACACTGGTCTCAAACTCCTGAGCTCAGGCAATCCAGCCACCTGCCCTCCCAAAGTACTAGGATTACAGGCATGAGCCACCACACTCAATTCTCTATATTTAATTCTGCTTAATATTAAGACAGTTCGAAAATGATAGGCATCAGGCCACATTTGGCATCTGGGGTTCCTAACCCACTTTTACCTGGTAAAAATGTTAAAATGTATGAGAGCTAGAGTTCAAAGCATGAGACTGAAGTCCAAAGCCTGGCACTGCAGCTCACCAGGGAGTGACCTAGGGCTGGCACTTCATCTCGTTCAGCATTAGTCTCTTTCTATGAAAAACAGGATCTTGGCTGGGCATGGTGGCTCATGCCTGTAATCCCAGCACTTTGGGAGGCCGAGGTGGGCATATCACCTGAGGTTGGGGGTTCAAAACCAGCCTGACCAACATGGAAAAACCCCGTCTCCACCAAAAATACAAAAATTAACTGAGCATGGTGGCACATCCCTGTAATCCCAGCTACTCAGAAGGCTAAGGCAGGAGAGTCGCTTGAACCTGGAAGGTGAGGTTGCCGTGAGCTGAGATCATACCATTGCACTCAAGCCTGGGTAACTCCATCTCAAAAAAAAAAAAAAAAGAAAGAAAAAGAAAGAGGATCTTGAAAATATTCACCACTGACGGTTGCAGAGAGATGAAGATTAAGTGGCACATAATAGTCAGATTTTAAGTGCATTGATATCCAGGTGCAACAAAATCCCAGCACTTTGGGAGGCTGAGGTGCGAGGATTCTAGAGGTCAGGAGTTCGAGACTAGCCTGGGCAACATAGCAAGACCCCATCTCTACAAAAAATCAATTAAACAACTAGAAAGTGCATTCATGTATTATTTACTATCTCAACAAACTTAGCATGGTACCAAGGTCTAAGTGAGTCTAAGAGACTAAGTCTAAGGGTTTAAGTCAGTCTCTGGCCTCAAGAAGCACCCAGCTATGTGGAGAAGTTGTGGTAGCAAATGTGTAATGCCACTACAATGTGGCAAGCATGAGCACCATTATTTTAGAGAACCTGCCAATACTCCAGTCTTTATGTAGCTTCAAATGAAATGATCTGTTTTGTTTTGACAGCTAGTTAATACATATTTGGACAGCTTCTGTTATATATTTTGGAAGAGAAACACAATTTGGGTTACATATACATTCTGAATATCCATATCCTTCCTAGCCATAATATTAGGAGGATTGACCAGAGCAATTAGTCTTTTAGAAAATATTTATTTATTTTTAACATTTATTTTAGGTTTAGGGGTACATGTGAGAGTTGTTGTATAGGCACATTGCATGTCATGGAGGTTGGGCATACAGATTATTTCATCACCCAGGTAATAGCAAAGTACCCAAAAGGTAGTTTTCCTATCCTCTCCCTCCTTCCATCCTCCATCCACAAGTAAATCCTGGTGTCTGTTGTTCCCTTCTTCATGTCCATGGGTGCTCAATGCTTAGCTCCTATTTATAAGTGAGAACATGCAGTATTTGGTTTTCTGTTCCTATGTTAGTTCATTTCAGATCATGGCCTCCAGCTTCATCCATGTTGCTGCAAAGGACATGATCTCATTCTTTTTCATGGCTGTGTAGTATTCTATAATATATACGTACTACATTTTCTTTATTCAATCTACCATTGATGGGCATTTAGCTTGATTCTATGACTTTGCAATTATGAATAGCACTGTGATGAATATACACATGCATATGTCTTTATGATAGAACAGTTTATATTTCTTTGGGTATATGCCCAGTAATGGGATTGCTGGGTTGAATGGTAATTCCGCTTCAATTTCTTTGAGAAATTGCCATACTGTTTTCCACAATGGCCGAACTAATTTGCATTCCTACCAGCAGTGTATATATAAGTGTTCTCTTTTCTCTACAACCTTGCCAGCATCTGTTACTTTTTGAGTTACTAATAATAGACTGCTGTGGATGTTATCTCACTGTGGTTTGGATTTGTATTTTGCTAATGATTAGTGATGTTGAGCATTTTTCCATATGGTTTGTTGGCCAAGTATATGTCTTCTTTTGAAAAGTGTCTGTTCATGTCCTTTGCCCACTTTTTTAATGAAGCTGTTTCTTGTTTTGTTAATTTAAGCTTCTTATAGATTCTGGATATTAGACATTTGTCAGTTTGCATAGCTTGCAAATATTTTCTCCCATTCTGTAGGTTGTCTGTTTACTCTGGTTGATAGTTTATTTTGCTGTGCAGAAGCTATTTAGCTTAATTAGGTCCCATTTGTCAATTTTTGCTTTTGTTGCAATTGCTTTTGACATCTTCATCATGAAATCTTTGCCAGGGTCCAGGTCCAGAATGGTATTTCCTAGGTTATCTTCCAGGGTTTTCATAAGTTTGAGGCTTTACATTTAAGTCTTTAATCCATCTTGAATTGATTTTCATATTTGGTGTAAGGAAGGTGTCCAGCTTCAATCTCTTCTGCATATAGCTAGCCAGGTATTCCAGCTCCATTTATTGAACAGGGAATCCTTTCCTCATTGCTTGTTTTTGTCAAGTTTTTCAAAGATCAGACAGTTGTAAGTATGTGGTTTTATTACTGGGCTCTCTACTCTGTCCCATTGGTCTGTTTTTGTACTAGTACCATGCTGTTTTAGTTACTGTAACCTTATAGGATAATTTGAAGCCTCCAGCTTGGTTCTTGTTGCCTAGGATTGCCTTGCTATTTGGGCTTTTTTTTTCTTTTGGTTCCATATAGACTTTAGAATAGTTTTCCCTAATTCTGTGAAAAATGTCATTAATAGTTTGATAGGGATGGCCATGAGTCTGTAGGTTGCTCTGGGCAGTATGACCATTTTAACAATATTGATTATTCTTGAGCATGGAATATTTTTTCATTTGTTTGCGTCATCTCTGATTTCTTCAGACAGTGTTTTACAATTTTCATTCTAGAGATCTTTTACCTCCCTGGTTAGCTGTATTCCTAAATATTTCGTTCTTTTCGTGGCTGTTGTGAATGGGATTGTGTTTACGATTTGGCTCTCAGCTTAGACATTGTTGGTGTACAGAAATGCTACTGATGTTTGTATATTGATTTTGTATCCTGAAACTTTGTTCCATCAGTCTTTTTTGGTTCAGGAAAATAATTCTGAATGACTGTTCATGATTAAATCAAACAGATTTGTTTTCCACTAGCAAATAGTAGTTCATCGTTACTGAGTGCATGCTGTGCGTATTTTCTATTGGAAAGCAGTCCAGCTTGGCATCAAATGGGCATCAACATTTATTAGCCTCAGGGTCTCCTCTGAAAAATGGGCAGGAATAGCACCTACCTGATAGTGTCAATGTGAGGATTCAGGAGGGTGGCTCGGCACCACAGGAAGTATTCAATAGTGGCAGTAATCACCATTGTCCTTGCAGAAGAAGCCTGGACATGAGAGAGGTTTTTTTGTTCTGGAAAGATGTCTGTGACTGCTGAAAGCTTTTCAGGGAGAGGGAGACCAGTGATGTTCAATTTAAAAGAGAGGTTATGGCCAGGTGCGGTGGCTTACACCTATAATCCCAGCACTTTGGGAGGCTGAGGCGGGCAGATCACTTGAAGTCTGGAGTTCAAGACTAGCGTGACCAACGTGGCGAAAACCCATCTCTACTAAAAATACAAAAATTAGCCAGGTGTGGTGGCATATGCCTCTAATCCCAGCAACTTGGGAGGCTCAGGCATTAGAATTGCTTGAACCTGGGAAGCAGAGGTTGCAGTGAGCTAAGATTGTGCCATTGCATCCCAGCCTGGGCAACAGAGTGAGACTCCATCTCAAACACACACATACACACACAGACACACATACACACACACACACACACCCCAGTAAAAGAGAGGCTAGATTCTCATGTAAGCATGTAAGGCAAAAATGAATGGGGTCAAATTACCCTAGAAAATTATCTTCCCATAAAATAAGGTATATATGATATTGTTTCTAGAACATTCAGGTTAGAGAACCACTGAGTCAGACCACGGAAGGGAGTGAAAGATATGTTTACCTACAGCTGCCTGGGCATTGCGACCATTCTGTCTCTAAAGAAGAGAGTCTCAAGTAGGGGCAATGTTTGTGCCCCGGAGGACATTTGGCAATGTCTCGAGATGTTTTTGATCGTCATTACTAGAGCAAGGTATGCTGTTGGCATCTAGTAGGCAGAGGCCAAGGATGCTCCTGAACATCCTGCAGTGTACAGGACAGCCCCCAAGAACAAGGAATATCCAACCTGAAATGCCAGTAGTGCTAAGGTTGAAAAGCTCTG